CACCACAACGGTACCCAGTAAGTGCCAAGCCTAACCTCGGTAGAGTAGTGACGAAGTCAGATCAGGGCCTACTGGTATATAATAAGTAAGACAGAAAATATAATAATGTGAAAAGACCGAGAATCTAACAAGGAGAATTCTATAGAAAATAACAACATAACACATAGAGATAACAATAGGGCGCTCCTGAGATAGCGTCTCGTAGTCCCAAAAATAAATGCTCAACAGGGGATCTCTCGAGGTATCGCCTCGTAGTCCCAAAAGTAAATATGCAGGAAGGGATCTCCGAGATACCGTCTCGTAGTCCAAAAAGTAAAGATATAGCGGGAAATCTCCCGAGATACCGTCTCGTAGCCCCAAAAGTAAATATGCGACAGGGGATCTCTTGAGGTACCACCTCGTAGTCCAAAAAGTAAACACACAGCTCAAAATCGATGGAAATAACAATTTTAGCAAGAAACCCTACAGTTTAAGACCAAGTACAAGTCAAGGAAAAAGCAGGAATTCAGCTAAGCATGTTGCACAGAGTTTAAATAAGCATTTAAGACACGTAGACATGCGATATTAGGCTAAACAGAATAACTACACCTGCTGGAATAACTCATTTAAGATAAAACATGTTATTGTTCAGTAAAATGGATTTTACAACAATTAGCCCATGTACGCACTCGTCACCTCACATACACGGCGCTCACATATTACAGAAGTATCACAATAGTACAAAATCCTAAGGGGATTTCTCCCACACAAGGTTAGGCAAGCCACTTACTTCGAACCAAGCTCAATCAATTAGTAAGAATGCCTTTTCCTCGACTTTCCGACTCCGAATGGCCCAAATCTAGCCAAAAGCAATTACATACCATAAATATAACTATAAGAAACTAGTCTAATTAATGAAATTAAGACTTTAGCAAGAAATTAGAAATTCGCCCCAAAAAGTCGACCCGGACCCACGTCTCGGAATTGGGTAAAATTCACAAAATACAAATACCCATTCAACCACGAGTTCAGTCGTATCAAAATTACTCAAATCCGATATCAAAATCTCAATCAAAACCCAAAAATTCGGTTGAAGAACTTTTTTCACTTTTCCCCAAACTTCTCAACCCAATTCTTAAATTAAAAGATTTATTTAATAATAAATTAGTGGGATATAACCAAAAACAAGTGAAGAATCATTACCCAATCGATGCCTTTGAAAATCCCTCAAAATCTCGTCCAAATTCGATCCCTCTATCTAAAGTTTTGATAAAAATGGCATAACCCTCGTTTTTGAAATATTTATAACTGCCGAGTGATTCCTTAATTATGATCGCGGAAATAGCCTTGCGATCGCGAAGCACAGCTGTCCCAGAATTTAACCCTACCCGCACGCGGAAAACTCCACGCGAACGCGATGCACTGGCTCTCAAACTTACGCTATCGCAAACGTCCCCACGCATTCATGATGAACAAAGCGTGTAGCCCAGCTTTAGCCTCCTTAACACGACGCGAACGCGACCTTGTCCACGTGTTCGCGAAGCACCACTTCATACCCATACGCGTTCACTTACTTCTGCCCACGAACTTGAAGATCAAGTCCTTCCTTTGCCCAGCTTAGCCTACGCGATCGCGGACCATCCCACTCGATCGTGAATAAGGAAACCAGATGCACCAGATCACAGAACTTCAGCCATCTTCCAAAATAAATTCTCAATCCGTTAGCCATCTGAAACTCACCCGAGGCCCTCGGGACCTCAACCAAACATACCAACAAGTCCTAAAATATCATACGAACTTAGTTAAGCCCTCAAATCACATCAAACAGTGCTAAAAGCACGAATCACACTCCAATTCAAACTTAATGAACTTTAAAACTTCAAACTTCTACAACCGATGCCGAAACCTATCAAATCACGTCCGATTGACCTCAAATTTTGCACACAAGTCACATTCGATATTACGGACCTACTCCAACTTCCGACCCCGATATCAAAAAGTCCACTCCCGGTCAAACTTACCAAAAATTTAACTTTCACCATTTTAAGCCTAATTCAGCTACAGACCTCCAATTCACAATCCAGACATGATCCTAAGTCCAAAATCACCCAATGGAGCTAACAGAACTGACGAAACTTTATTTCGGAGTCGTCTTCACACAATTCCAACTACGGTCGAAATCCTAGAACGTAAGCTTCCATTTTAGGGACTAAGTGTCCCAAATCACTTCGGAACCAAAAACAAAACCTCTCGGTAAGTCACATAAGCAATAAATAATACGGGAAAAGCAGTAAATAGGGGATCGGAACTAATACTCTCAAAACGATCGATCGGGTCGTTACATAATCGGTGACAGAGAAGATTGGTGGTGTTGCCCGTGAGGGTGGTGTGACTGGTGGAAGTGGTTTTTGTATGGTAGTTGTGTGGTAAAAGCTGGTGATGATTGGGTGATATTGTTAATTTAAACTCTATACAAAATTTGAATGAATCAGACCTATTTAGAAAGAATAAGCCATTACAGAGAAAAAATTAAATACACTTAATGAATTGACCGGTAAGATCTGAATGATTCATATTGAAACTTAAAAAAAAGTGTAGAAATGACATCATCTAACCACTTCGTCCAATCTTATTTAAAATATATAAAAATTTTAAAATTATTGGAAGTTTGATTAGTTTGACAACTTTAGATTGCTCATGCTCAAATTGACGTTTCTATTGAGAAAATCTCACTTTATACCCATTAAATCTAAATTATTTACCCTTTAATATCCAGGCCCAAACTATTTATTACTCCTACCCATGCGGCCCAAACTATTTACCCTGTTATTCATTTGGGTTTTAGGGTATTGGGAAAATCATAGAATAGCAATTTGGGTGCGCTAGAAAGTAATTTTTTCATCTGGGTGTTGTCCAAACCGGTTTGTTTCAAGAAATTGAGGACTAAATCGGGTTTTTTAAGGATTTCCATGAAGTTATCTTGGAAGATGTAGAGGTTGCTTCTTCTTTGGAGAATCCTAGAGAATTAATCAGGTATTTTACCAAGAAATGTGTCGGGGCAGGAGCTGGGGATTGCACTTGTTGAGTAGAAATATTGAGATACAGCTACTGCTTTGTCTCCGAATCTGACGAGCATATCGTTTAGCTATTGTAGATCCACAAAAAAACTCCATCGTCAATTGACATATTAGATGCCAAGCAATGTGAAGACTTGGGCATTGAGGGGGTTAGTTTATAGAAGCAGCTTGTTTCTCTTAATTAATGATTTAATTTTGCGTTTACCATGATTTTCTCCAGTTGATTGCTAGTTTTTTGCATTCCCCCCCCCCTCCCCAAATTCATCTACTTCATCTACTTGGGGTCCAAGTTAGATGACAGTCTTTTTGTTAACGAAGATGAAGCTGAAAAACTGTGTAGGGTTCTTAACTTATTCAGCATGGTAAAGAAGTTGTTGTACTTGTGTCTCGAGGAACATGTTTCAGGATTTTCTTCAAAATTTCCTGCAAGTGGTATTGAGCATCTATTACTTTGAATATCTTTGGAATTGATCAGATTTCAGTTGCTTGGCATATCATTACTTTTTATTAGCTCAAACTAACGAAGATTATGTGGATCAATTCTGCGCCACTAACGAAAATGGCTAGTTTCAATTCTGCTCCACTTTTTCTTGATTGTTCTTTCCATAGCTCTTGCTCTTCCTTGGCTTAAAATTTTTCTTTTGAAGATTTCTTGTTTGATTCAAAGTGGGTGCTGTTAAATATTGCTTATAATACCTTCTGAAGTTCATAATGAAATTTGATAGCATTTGGAGCTGATTTCAGATCAAAATTTTCAGCTAAAAATCGAAGAAGAACACAACTACCCAATAGTATATTGCTACGGTATACAATACGCTGTAGGAGTATATAGCTATACTGCAACAATATACTATTATAGTTTACAATATACTGCAATGGTATATTGTAATAATCGAAGAAGAACACAGTTACCTAACAGTATACCGCTACAGTATACAATATACTATAGGAATATATAGTTATACTGCAACAATATACTATTATAATATACAATATTTTGTTATAGTATACTGTAATAATATGCAATATACTATAACAGTATGCTGTAATAGTATACAATATACTATAATAGTATACTTATTACCCGTAAATTCACTTGCCTTCCCTTTTAATTTGCTTTAAGTTTTTACCCAGCGTGAGAGGCAAATTGAAAATGCAAAAAACAAAAAAAAAAATTATAGTATGCTATATAATGTAACGGTATACTCTTACAATTAGATCCTTTTTAGAATTTTTTGAAATTTTTATTGACAACTGATATTATTTCAGTTTAATAATTGAATTAATTTTTTTTTAACTCTTTGCATACAATTGTATACCCTGTTGATATAGCTATATACTACATTGGTATCATATGTTAGTTAATATTTTTGATTGTATTAGCTACATTTAATTGGTACACAATTTGATTTTCTTTAGTAATAATATTAAAAAAAAAGAATAATAAAAAATAGTGAAAACAGTAAATAAAATTAGATTATGAAGAGAATAAGAATATAAAGAAAAGAAGTTAAATGAAATTAGAAAAGAAAAAAAGACAAAAATAAGAAGAAAACGAGAAAATAGAAAAGGAGAAAAGAAAAAAAAAAGAATTGGAGAATAAAGAAAAAATTTCCCACAAAAAACTACTATGGTAGGAAATGTAATTAGTTTATGGGTAGAAAAACAAATGGGTAGACAAGGGTAAATAGTTTTATTTTTGTGGATAACTGTGTCAAAAACCCCTTTCTAAAGTTAGACTTTGTCAAGGCCTAAATTCAGACAGTGCATTCAAATTTTGGCTATTCCTTTAATAAGAATCCTAAAACGGCTATCTGTGCACTTCTCCCAACATATGGTGCCAAAGTTGCGCGCACCGGCTTGGACCTGGTCCAGTCAGACTGGGCCTATGCTGTAGACCCAGTTTAGAAAACAACAAATGGACTTCAATTAAGGCCCAAATCGCAAAACGAAAACCAAATAAAAACAAACGAACACCCTAAAACCCTACTTCTTCTTTTTCGACTCGCATAATTTTTCCAGCTTTAAGGTTTTCCCACATCCGCTGCACAAATGGTAACTGTCCAATCTGCAAATGCATAATTGATCAACTCTTTATTTAACTTTAGTTCTGTGTATATATGTGTAGTTATTATTTTTTGTTGAATCGTATTAGGGAAAAGGAACAGGTAGTTTTGGTAAGAGGAGGAACAAGACACACACACTGTGTGTGAGATGTGGTCGTCGTAGCTTCCACATCCAGAAGAGTCGTTGTTCAGCTTGTGCTTATCCTGCTGCTCGTCTCAGAAAATGTATGTTTTTTTCATTTTTGAAGTACCCTGTTTTTATATTGATATTTGCTTGTTGGTACTATAGAGAGATGTTTCAATGTTGGAAATCGATGTATTTTTTTATTTGATTATGAGCCTGTTTGGTTTGGATTAGAAAAAGGGTTGTCGTTGTTTAAATAAGTAACTGTAAGATACAGAGACGAACTTAGGATTTAAAGTTTATAATTTCATAAGATAAATATAGAGTTTGGATGAAGTTACTAGGTTCAGTCGACTGAACCCGTACACAAAGGGCTAGCAAGGTAGAATAATGGAAACGGGTCTGGAAGTGCATAGGATTTACGTTTCTTTGTTTACTTCTGTGATTCTTTCTGTAGCCATTGCCCTTTGTTTGTTGGATCTAGCATCTTTTATGGATGATAAATTTTTTTAAGGGGATGTTTAAAATTGACGTAATTTATTGTAACTTGATAAAAAGGTAGTGTTGAATCTCATCAAACTTTGGGCCTGTTTTGTTTGGATTATCCAAATTGTTTTCGGTTGGTGAATAAGCAATTATTAGATTATTGAATGCTTTTGTGTAATTAACTGGGTAAATTTGGTAATTTATTTGGGGTGGGGTGGGGGTGGGGTGGGGTGGGGGGGTTCTAAAGTTCACTAGTTATGGGGCTATTTTAAGCTTTATAAACAGGATCCAGACTCTGGTGCTGACTTTTTTTTGGTTGCAATGAGATAGAACTTGGGTTATTGTGGTAAAATTTCTGTTGGAGCTGGTAGGTGTAAGGACTAGATAAAATGAGTGGATTACCTGTATCTCCAGTTCAAATTGTCCATCGTGGATGATTATTAGTCAATTAATTGATATTTGAACATGCCTAGAATTCTCCCGTTCAAGATGAAATGAATGGGGACCAAAACTAGTCAAACTAAAAAAAAAAAGATGAAATGAATGGGGTTGGTTGCACTGTCTGGCCCACTCTTGTTTTGTTTTGGATTTTGTTTGGAAGGTCTTAAGTTTGGTATGCGGATAGCAATTGTGTGTGTTTGGGTTGGTTAGGAAAGAATTGGTTTCTGGATATATTGTGTTTGGATTATGTTATAAACCTCTAAAAATATTACTAACAAAAAAATCGTCTAAATGTATTTGCTACTGATCTTATTTCCAAAATGTTAAGCAAATTCTTTCTGGTCATATGGATCAAACAGGGGAAAAGGGAAAAGGGGAGATGGCCATAAGGTTAAACAGCTGGTATGCGAATATAAATTGGTTTCTAAATATCGAGATCTAAATGAAATAAAGGGGTGTGTGGCCCCACTTGGGAGCTTCATGAAGATTGTTTTTAAGTATCTGTTTCAAGCGCAACCTTTTTGTCCTATAAAAAAGAATAAATGGCTTGGGAACTTTTACACATTAGAAACGAATTGAAATTAGGGTTGTGGCTGATTTGCAGAAACAACTCAGAGATCCAATTGTTTTTTTTTTCCCGGAAACAATAGCTACAATGGTTTAGTTTTGAATACCAATCCAAGTGGTTTTGGAAAACAAAAAAGGTATCCGTATTTGCTGATTTCTTTCTGTGTTTTGCTGTAGATAACTGGAGCGTCAAGGCACTTAGGAGAAAGACCACTGGAACTGGCCGCATGAGGTACCTCCGCAATGTACCACGTAGGTTTAAGACCAACTTCAGAGAAGGTATGCCGTCTGTTATTATCTTTTGTAATTAGAGAATATTCTCTTGGACCCTCAATTTTACGACCTTGCGCATCTAACCTTCAATTTAGCAGATTCTCTAATAGACAACAACAACAACAACAACAACAACATACCAAGTATTATCCTACACCGTGGGGTCTGAAGAGGGTAGTGTGTACGCAGAGCTTACCCCTACCTTGTGAGGATAGAGAGGTTGTTAGATCCTCTAATAGACAAATGCGCTAATACTAACAACACTAACCTACAACTCATATATTCATGTGTGCTTTTTCTAGAGGCAATTTCATCTTCTAGGTGTCATTTTTAGGAAAAACGACTATTTTAAGGACATGCATGTGGTAAAAGATTTTTTTACCCTAATTGCCTCTTCTTTCGGCTACAAGGACAGAGATCTGAGAATCGATTTCTTGGTGGCTTTGTTCTGGGGGCATATATTTATCTTCAATTCGAGGGTTTCTTTTTTTGCCCAGATTCTGTTTCCTTTCTTTATCTGGGTTCCCTTGTCTTGATATATTCCTGCTTTAATCCTTTCTTTCTTATCCAACAAAATTATCCTTTTCCCCAAATGTCTGTTTACAAACTGGCACTCAGCTGTTGCTTAAGTTGTGGGCTAAGGCTATTTAAGCTTACCTAGTTTCTGCGTAGGATGGATCAATCTATCGTCCTAACAGAGTAAAGGTTAAATGTGCAAAGTGACATTATAGAATAGACCCAAAATGCAAGCAGGGTGTAAAAGAGGAACGATAATTGCAGCGTTTCTAAATGTATTTGGCGCTTGCATACTTCAGTTCTGTTATATGTGGGATTAACTAGTTTGTCTTTCTTTTGGGCACTGCAGGAACCGAGGCTGCTCCAAGGAAGAAGGGTGCTGCTGTGGCCTCTTAAGTTTCTAAAGAGGCAGTTCATCTGTTTCATTTTAATTTTTTGCTTTAGATTCCCTGATGAATCAAGTCTTGGATATTTGTACCTCGAGTATTATCTCTCATTTGTTAGTGTTGAGTGGTTCCTATTTAAGACAGAGATCCAATGATGATTGCCTTTTGTCCTTTATTTACTAGTTCTTTTACATTCCTAAGCGTAATAATTTGAAGTAAATGATGTCCTCTTAATCATCTGGATGACTGGTAGAAACTCCCATTTTGTACCGAAACCATTGTTACCTAAGGTGGTTGACCTCTGAAGTCATGTATCAACCTCCACGTAAAAGTAAAGTTCAATCTCGCCTTGGACCTTATACTAACTTTTATTTTATTAGTTGATGTATGACTGTAAATGGACACAATCTTCACAAAATTTCCTGCTTTTGTGAAGAGAAGTGCCTTCAAAATCAGACAGCTTGTATCCATAGCTGTGGTCCTTTAAAGACAAACTTTACACAGAACGTTGCATCCTGTAGATGCTCTCTTTGTTCTCTTAATTTGTGTCAATGGCCTTCACTGCTGCAAATACTAAGGTTTTTTGCGGAGCCTTGTTCTTAATCAACTCGTGCAATCAGATGAAATTTCTTTGAAGCGCCCAATCTTGTGGGCTTTCGTCTTATAAAATGTTTGGTGGGAGCAACTATTTTTTAAGTGTAAAATTTATGTGAGGTAAAATGGTTGATTGAGGGGACCAGATAGTGCATTTTCCTAGTTGCAACAAGTGCATTTATGGTGCGTTACTTATTCTGGTACAATTAAAGGAATACTGTTAGATTTATTGTGGGCCATATGATGAAATGTTTGTTGGTTTCTTCTTCACCTCTATTAACATATAACAAGCTCATCGCCACTTCAGTAAGTCCCTCACAATTTTTACGATAATCCAGCAAACAGAGCTGCAATTAAATTGTATATATTGTTATCCACCTACTTGAGAATCAGGAGATAACTCAAGCAAATGAACTTTCTTTCAACATTTAAGAACATTCCCTTGTTTGCATTTCTTCAAGAACTCGTTTTGCTATACAATTGTAATATGATAGATGCTGGATACAAAGAGATCAAAAACCATGTATTAGCAAGTCAGAAAATAAATAATGCCAGCATTTCTAATGATCCATTTCTTTGTCAAAACATGCATTACAAAGGTCAAAGAAAACTAGAGTTGTGTATATACAAGAGAAATGGCCCTGTTTCTTGGGCATTCTCCATTTGAGTTTTTCTAGCAACCAAAGCTCAAGCTAGTGCTAGACTCTTTGACCGGGTGAATTCTGAGAAGGATAACTAGTTGTAAGAAAGTATAACAATAACAATTACCTAAGGCAGTCACCAAAAGGCTCTTTTTCCCCAGTGTTACAGTAACTCAGGCTTCTAAGGCACAAGATTCTTGATGATGCCAATTGTACCCTGCACGTCCTTGCGCTTAAACATCACTTTTGACTCTTCCGTAAGCACTCACCAACACTGGTTAGTTCAGAGATGTTGGACAAAAATTTAGTCACAGCACCTATTAAGCATATGCTGCCAACTCAATGCTTCAGCCAATAGTTTCGCAGCTGAGACATGTGCAACAGTATCTCATCTCGACCTTGGTTGGTGACACTACTGGTCATAATCCAAGGTGGTACAGTTTGGAAGAACTTCTGTATCAACACTAGAAAATCCTGCAAATTCTCTTCAGGCCTTCTCCCTCCATTCTTCTTCTTTTTCCTCTTATCACACTTGGTGAAAACTAGTGTCATTGGGATCTGAAAAAGAGCACCCACGATACAACACAAAACTTAGAAAAGCGTCTTCATAAATAAACAGGAAAACATCAATATTTTTCCGAAAACCAAATTGGTCAGCGGTTTCTATTGATTGCTTAGGTGGGGGCAAAATGATATCCAAAGTAAGGGAGTAATCCATTTTCCTCTAATATTGAGTATAATGAGGTATGGTCTTGGAGTAGAAAGTTTAAATATAACACTTCATAGAATCACACAGAAAGTGCAAATGCGAACAAGGAACAACATAAAGGATTCAGAACTTGAAATGTTGAGCACATGGCAAAAGGAGGCCTCATATTCACATGATGTGATCTTGCAACTTCATTGTTCATAAAATCGGAATGGAGATAATTTAGACTGAATCACCTGATTCTGTCCCAACCAACTTGCATACTCAAGGTCAATCTTTTTTGCAGGGATGCTAGCATCTATGAGGAGGAAGACTGAGACAAGGGTTGGCCGGTTTAGGAAATAATCTTTGGTGAACTTAGCCCAATCTGTCCGTACTTCATGTGGCGCAGCTGCATACCTTCAGTATTTAACACAAGTTCAGCATTTGATCTTGAATATGCAAGTACTATTAAAAATGTCTTAGAAGACGGAGATAGCACACGGAAAGCATATAACGTTAACGATATCAATTTGAGGCACGAAAAGGAGTAAGATTATTCCAATGTTATTTGAGAGTGATAAAGACAGTGAAATTTGCAAAAATATGATTGGAAGAGCTTAAGAGAGGGGGTGTAGAGAAGTTGATTATCGTGAAAATAGATACAAAACAAAGTCCGGGCACAATAATTTGTTTTGAAGTGGATTCACAGAAGAAAGGGAATTCAACAGTTGCATGAAGTCGCTCTAAAGAACATGTCCGCTTGGTGCTCAAGCATTTATGAACATCTTCTTCTGTCTCTTCGATAGCTTGCTAAACCTAGTCAAGCAGGCTAAAACATTGCATCAAGCTCTCAGAGTATGATGAGTAATTGTTCAGTTCAGGTCAATGTTTTAACAATAGTCTCTAATCCAAAATCGCAGCATCATGCAAGGTCCTGATTCACAGTTTCTAACAAACAGAAGCAATCACGAGTTTCCTCTTCATGAAATAAAGTTCCTATATGTGAATTTAGTCAACATTTCTGAAAGACCTAGAATGATAGAGTAGACATCTCAAGCTACTAGGAATTTTACTTATTCAATATGCAACTAGAAAGCCATCGGATAAGCTATCATGAGAATGCATCGGCAAGGCCAGAATGTGAGCGTCACATTTAACAGTAGTCTTTCGAATGCTGCAGGAAAAGTATACACAACTTTCTTAAAACATTCTGCAGTTAAGTCCATACCCGTAGCCTGGTAAATCTACAAGGTACCAGCTCTCATTGATCCGGAAATGATTGATGCATTGTGTCTTCCCTGAAATTAGATAGAAGAACGGGCTTAATTATACGGTTTCTTATTGCAGATTTGTAAAGAAATTCTTGAAAGGAGAAAATATCAGAGCTTCAGTAGCTGCAGGTCGGATTTAATTTTACATATAAAAGAAAAACAGTTTACTTTCATTCAAGTCCCCCAGAAAATTTTGCGTGCCTATCTAAACATAGAGAGCACTTACAAGAAATCAAATTTCTCAGAAAGAATGAAATAGCATGTACTATCAAAATTTCCATGTACTGAGCTGCTAAACAAATCATATTAACCACGTCGTATTTACCACACCTTAATGGAAACAAAAACTTAGAACCTATACAGTTTCACTGGAGTTAATAAAGCAAGAGAAGGAGCTGGCAGTTTCTAGCCACCAGGAAGAATTGGCATGCAGCACAAAGCTGAAAAATCTAGTAAAATTGAGATAGGTAAAGACAGAACCGAGTGCTTGTGGTCTTTGATGAGCGGTACGAGGACCATTTATCAAGTAGTATACCAGGAAACTCTAAAACAGTTGCTCAGCTCTCACACTGGAATGCCGGCTAATGATAATGGAGAATGGCAGAGGCACTTAAAGGAAATTTGATGAAAGAATGAGATAAAAACTGCTGGAACTGCATTGAATCTTTCTACTGTATCATATGCCTTTTATAAGTCATTGAACACGACATGCATATCTTTCTTCCTCTCACGATAAACTTCAATCAATCTCCTTAGCAAAAATATAGACTCCTCATTCCATTGTAGATCTATAGGGCATAAATCTAGATTGGTTCTCTGTCACTCTTATAGTGTCCCTAAGTCTACTAACTACTCATAAGTTTAATGTCATGATAGTTTGCACCTAAGTTGCTCGACACGGCAGTTTAGGTGCAACATCTGTGTCGATACGACACTAGTATGGGTGAGGGTATGGGATCCATACCGGATCTGGTCAAACAATTTTGGGTACTTTGACCACGGAAGACGAAAAAATTCGAGACGAGATACAATTTGATTCCCGAAATCAGATCCTTATCTAGGAAATCAATCCTTCACTTAACTACAACTTGAGAATAAAAAAGAAACCCATACTTTACAAGCTATACATAAGTATTCCACAAAAGTTATCATAATTTAGAGATATTTTTATATTTATATTTTTTGAATTATTTTTAGGAAGGGGAGCAGATATGCAGGGTAAGGCTGCGTATAATAGACTTGTGGTCCGGCCCTTCCCCGGACACCGCGCATAGCGGGAGCTTAGTGCACCGGGCTGCCCTTTTTTGAATTATTTTTAGCCGAATCACTGCACCCGTATCCGTACTAGGATCCGTATCCCCAAATCTTATAATTCACATCTCGAAGGATCTGACCTCTAGATCCGCACCCATATCGGGCACCCACACTCATGCCCGAGCAACTTAGGTTTGCACAACTTTGAATGCCTTCTTTATTTTTATAAACTAGATTCAGGGTACTCTATCTCCACCCATCGGGCATCCTACCACTTTCCAATAAATAGTTTGGTAAGCTATCCTACTCCAACCTTTCCAGGACTCTTCCAAACATCTATGGGGATACCATTTGCACCATAATCTTTCTAATCCTGATATATGTCATAGCATCCTTACCTCCGTTGGCCTAATTCTACAAGTGTAGCTAAAGTTCTATCATGCACAAATGTTTGGAGATCTAGAATGTTGTTATCGGGGTTTGAGTTAAATAAATTTATCAAAATAGCCCCTTTATCTCTCCTGGATCTCATTATCTTCTGTCGATACTTGTTGAGAATCGTTTTTTACACTTCCACCTGAGTTAAGTCCTTACTTCTCTTCTCTCTTAGTCGCGTCAGTTTAAACATTTCTTTCTCCCCAATTGTTTCCTTAGCTTTTGTTAAAGCCATCTAGGGCTTCTCCGCGAGCTTTTTCTTTCTTGTGATCGGTATCTCCCTCGAGCTTTACTAGTATTTTAAGCTTCCCTCTTATCTCTCTTGTACTCTTCAAAGGCTTCTCTATCTTTTGCTTTTGGCAACTTCCTATAGCATTATCTTTTAGCTCTAATAACTCTTTGCACCTTCTCATTCCACCACTAAGATTCTTGAGGTTGAGGTCTTATACCTTTAGAGACACCTAACACTTTGTTTGCTACTCTTTTAATTGAACCTGACAATTCTTCCCATAGGATGTCAACATCCCCCTCCAAGTCCCATGCTCCCTCCTCACGTAGTTTTTCTTGAAATGCTAACTAGTTAGCGCATTTATTTGCCCACCACTGAATTCTCGATTACTTGCAAGTTGTCTCCTTTCTCACTCTCACTCTCGCCTCGCGTTTTACATCCAAGACCACCAACCTATGTTAGGTGGTCATCACTTCTTCTGGTATAACTATACAGTCCTTATATGTTCTATAACGTCTTCGAGTAAGAATAAAGCCATTTTGACTATGGTTTACCCGACTCTAGATGTTCAGGGGCGAGTATTTTTTTTGGTTAAATTATGTGTTAGCTACACAAAATCATAAGCTAAAGCGAACTCTAGGATAGCCTTTCCCTCATCGTTCCTAGTGCCATAACCATATCTTATGTACTTGGTCATTATTGTTGAACTGTGTGACCATCTCATCTAAAAGCATAAGCTATTAGAAAAAGCATACTTAATTTACTTAATTGTCTCTTTCATCTAAAAGCTTATACTATTAGAGAGAGCATACTTTATTTACTTAATTGTCTCTTCGACAACTATCTTTATCGACATGACCTTTTTTTCTTTTTTTGATTGAGCGAGAAATCCGTCTGGTGCCGATCCTTTTGGACCAACCGCAGCCTTCGAAACTCGGTGGATAATAGGCCCGCCCCTCTACCCTTCTCCACTTAAATACCAGGCTTTGCTTTACATGGTGTGGGGGCTTGAACATGTGACCTAAGACACAAATCCACCACCCTTTGCCACTTGAGCTAGGCCCCGGGGGCTTATCGACATGACCTTTTAGATCTCCCTTAATAAAGATCTGATGGTCGCATGGAATCCCTTTAACTAAGGTGTTCATATATTCCCCAAGCTCGCTTCAAATAATTTAATTGCTCGGAACTTGTTGATAGCCACTTCAATGGATTTGTTCTTCTTTATGTTATCCCAATCCTTACTGCTACCCCTGTTACCTTCTAGCTTCACCCAAAACTTGGCTATTAAGTTTTCAAAAGTCTATATGATTCGTAATCCATACAAATTTTACCTTATGAGAAGTTAATCATAATGCTGAAGCCACACAAACATGTAATCAATTATGAAAAGTTTCAAAATTTCTCTGTCAACATCAAGTGAAGACCTTTTTTGATGAAGTAAGATGTTATATTACTGGCATCAAGAAGATGCAAAAACATTACAAAAGAGGTTGGTTAGCTCCTTTTACACAAAAATACAGTTCTAGTCAGGAAGCTAACCAAAAGCACCAAAAACCTAAGGTTGGCAATCAAGCCAAAGTCAAAGAGCTAATTAAATCTAGAAATGAAATTAACTCATTTACAGGGGAAAGGTTGCTCCAGTTATATAGATTCCTAAGGCACTTTGCTTTCAGGGAGCAGTTGGGAGTTGTTATGCCATCAAAGCATTTGCGATTCCTTTTTGTCTAAATACACCAAAATATACTTGCTGGGATCATCTGCAATATCTCCTTGATGGTTCTGTCAACTTTATCAAGTGAGACCTACTATTTTAGCTATACTCAAAAATCTATCTTTAATGAACCAAAGCACCCTCAAAACTCACATCTTTTCTACAATCAAGAATCACACTTGATCAAATTAATAGTCATTCAACAAAAGTTTTAACCATAATGCTGAAGCCACACATACATGTAAATGTGTAATCAACAATGAAATCATAAATTTCTCTATCAAGTGAAACCTAAAAAAAAATATTTTTAATGAACCAAAGAACCCTAATAAATCACATCTTTTCTAGAATCAAGAATCACAGGTTATCAAATTTACAGCCATTCTACAAAAGATTTCAAGCAAAGAACATATGAAAACCTGGTTTCTTGGAAGTAAGAGCAAGCTTTTTACGCTTCACAAGCGAGTTAAGCAAAGAAGATTTGCCCACATTGGACCTCCCAACAAGAGCAAACTCAGGCTTTCCATCAGAGGGACATTCCTCAGTCTCCACACTGCTCTTCACAAACTCAGCTTGCTCCACTTGAGCATCCCCAGCATATTTGCTAAGCACAATATTTGACCCTTTTAAAATCCTAGCACTCAAGGGCCTTGAACCAGAAGAAATATCAGTATCAGGTGGAACAAATAGCTTTTCAACTGAAATTTCTATGTGGGAATTTTGTTCTTGAACATCTTCAAGTTCCAAATTCTTGGTTTGTGAGTCTGGGTTTTGGAGGAGTGTGTTGGCTGCTGCTGTAACTGATGAAAAATGGGAAACTGGGGTTGTTTTAGATTTGGATAAGAGTGTGGAGGTTATGAGAATCTTGGGTTTTGGGCAGAAAATGGAGAAGTGGGAATGGAGTTTAGGAAGATGAGTGATAAACATCTTGTTTTGGTTCTCTGCGAAGCCACTGCCACCATGGTTTTGTTGGGTTTTGCTGTGGTTTGGAAAAGATATTTCCACTTCTTCTTTTTCTCATGTTGGTCCTTTGGGATAAGATAAATTTCAGAACATCCTTGAGATATGATGACAATTACAAATTGCTCCTTTTAAGTTTCAAAATGTGCTAAAAATTAAAATTTCCATTAGCTTAAACTAGTTTCTCCATACTGCTGAATCATACCATAAACTACTTCCAATATTACGTTTAACCTAGCAAGAAAATATTTAAAAGATAAAAGTTCAGAAATTTGATAGAAAGAATAAAAATTGAAATGTTTTTGTAATTTTTGTTTCAAAAGTTTTCTAATTAAGATCCCAATGAGGTTGTATTATTCATCTCGTCACTCTTTCTAGCTAATTACCAATAGCGCAAGACCCTTTAATTGCATCTTTTATGATAAACAATAGCGTAAGTGGTATATCATGTTGAATCTTAAATAATAATAAAGCCATAGAATACTAATAAATTGGGATCTACCTCTATTCATTACAACCCATTATGTTTCCATCTTTCTAATACAATATGGCACATCATCACATTTTTTCGAAAAAAAAGAAAATTCTAAGAAGTTTAAGTTCTTCCATTTATCATCGTTACCTTTTCTATGTTTTGAAATCAATAAACCAGTTATACTATATAGCATTTCTTCGTTGGCTTATAGATTCTATTTGGTATGCTACATTTTATGAACATTAGTAACTAATTTGAAGGGTTACATCCTTCAAATAAATTTGATTTCTTTACTTAATTCCTGTATAAATCGAGGTTTAGATTTTCTATAAGAGTATCTAGATTTTTTTAATATTTTAGTTTTGATGTTCTAAATTTTATACTATCTAATATTAAAATAATATTTTGCTAGATATAGAAGTGTCGTAATAAAGCAAATGAAGTACAAAATTTCTGCTGATAAAATGAATGAAAAGTATATTCAACTGTTTGCTTTTGTTTATATTTGATGAATATCATGTGGTTAGGCATCATTTTAGAAATGCATCTTTTTTTTGGGGGGGTCAATATGTTTCTTTACCTTTCAAAACAAATCAGACATGTAAATGAAATACATGAATTCTTAGAAATTAGAAAGTACCTAAACAAAATACACCGCAATAAATCGAGAAAGATAATGAGGTAAATATAATCACACATCTTCTAGTATCAAGAATGGAAAAATCTCTGACTTTGTTGTCTACCAAATGGTTTCATATTTGAATAGATTTCTTTCTTTTATCTCCTCAGAATGTCTTGTCAATAAGAATGCACTACTGGTTTCAAGATAATCTCATCCAAATAAAAAAAAATCAAAGTGAAAAGGCAGGCAATAATAATTAGGACTTTTTGAAAAGGAAGCAGTGGTTGGAAACAATGGGAACCGTTAATGAGTATATGAAGGGTTGCATCCCTTCAATTAAATTTAGCTTTTTTTTTATTTACTTTTTTTGGTATATGTTGGGTATTTAGATAATTTAGAAGGGTATTTTAGTAATTCAACTTCTTGTTTTTGGTGTTTCCACTTTTATAATAATATAGATATAGATTTTATAATAATATAGATATAACAGTGTAAAGGAGCAAGTTATTTATTTTATTTTTTTGGGTTATTAAATTGACTTATTATAAATGATTACTCTTTTCGTCCCATTTTATATGATACTAGTATTAGGACCCGCGCGATGCGCGGACATAAAGCATATTAAATTATGATTTGGGTTATTTAAATTATGTGCAAATAACCTTAAATTAAACCTTCTATATATAAATTATAAATAATTATTTGATATTAATTAAGAAGCAGGACATGAAATCATTTTTAAAATCTCATAGTGGATAATTTGTTTTCTTTTTCTATATCGGTAATAACCCAACCCTTGTATTATATTTTACGGTCAATATTAAAGAATACTATACATGTAACATTGTGATCTGTCTTGTTTGAGCACATTAAATTATATTATTTTAACAAAATTCTTACTACCACTTTATTTTTCATCTCAAATTCAAATATCTTATCCTTCTACAATTTTAGACATAATTTTTTTCTCTTTTATGTTCCTTGCTTATAGTAGATGCATTATTTATTACTTAATATTTTTATACTATAATGTGATCTTTTATTAATCTTGTTTATTACCCTTTTAATAATCATCAATAAATGTAAAAAAAAAGTTATTCTTGAAATTTAATGTATTTTTACACTATTATCCACTTACTCGGATCTCTTCAAATCTATTAATAATATTTTTTACTACAATTTAATAATTTTATTTATTTATTTTTAATAAATTTGAAAATATAAGTATCCTCGCGCTATCTCTATTTTTCTCTCTATACATAATTTTTTTACCTATACTCAAAATAAATAGATTTTCAAACAATTTTCTACTCAATTAAAAATTCAAAATGAAGTATGATACTTTTCTTATATTTGATAGTTTTCTATCGGAAACATATATATCACATTTATTTTAGAATTTAACTTTGAATTAGTCTAAAAATTAATATATAAGTTCTTTTATAATGTTCAAATCTATTGAATTTTCTTATAATTATTTTTTATATTACGTGTATTTATTTTATAATCTATTGATACAAATTTGGCTTTTAAGAACTTTCTAATCTCAAATTCAAATAGTCTTTCCCTTTTATTTCTAATAGTAAATTTTCAATAATTTAACGTGATTTTGCTATTTCTTTTTAAACTAATATATAGTCTTATAACGTTATGTGATTTTTCATTAACTTGTAACTTTATTTAATATCATTATCAACTACTATTCTTAAATAATATAGATAAATATATATTTTTTTTAATCACAAAATAAATATTTTGTTTTGTTTCAAGAATATTGCTTGAAAATTTTAAATTATTTAACTTTTAATAATATTTGTAAGTATTGTATATTTACTTTATTTTATTTTCTAACCATATGATTATAAATATCCTCACATTATCTCTAATTTATTTTTATTATTCAATATTTTTAGTTTTTGATTTTATCTATTAGACTTGAGTTACGTGGATATCCATATTATGACTTTTCTTATCACAATATAAAAAAACTTTCTCATCTCAAATTTAAATTAGTTTTTACCCTTTTTCTCTATGATAAAAATATGAATTTTCTATTATTATTATTTTTGATATTATATTATTCAATTCCTAATATTATTACACTGTCATGTGGATTTTTATTAGCTTGTGTGAATTTAATATCAATTTATCACACTCATTCTAATACACTATAGATAAAAATTAAATAACTTTCTCATCTCAAATTCAAATAATTTTATCATTCTATTTTCTAAATTGGAACGTATTTTCAAAAATTTATGTTATGCTTTTAAACTTAAACTAACTGCACTCAATTCAAATATTAATCATACAAAAATATTTTCTATTATTTGAACACATTATATATAAACGTTGTAATATTTTACGTATAAAATATTTGTTTGCCCGATTTATCAATATTAATATGACTTTATTATTCTTATTATTAAAATAGTTTTTACTGATTATTTAATTTTTTTCTTAACTTATAAATAATTTATATCCTTTATGTAAGATCTTATTTTGTTGCTTGAATTTCTTTAATTTTAAACTCAATAGCTCTTTAACATCTTAAGTAAATTTTGATTTTATTTTATATTTTAACTTACACCAAAATATAAATAGTCATAGATTATCTGAATTTACGTATTTTATTTTTTTTATTTTTTATTATAATTTTTATTAATTTTTATCTCCATATTTCTAGCTAACATAGAAGAAATCTATGACTGGATCAATATATAGATATAAATATAGATATAGATGTAGATATAGATATAGATACAAATATAAATATAGATATACAAATTAGATTTTTCTAGGATCTATTTAGATTATGTATAAAATTCATTAAACTACTTTCATTAAATATGTTTCCATTTATAATTCAAATTTTTAATGTTGTCTTAAAATTGCCAAGTGGCTTCATTTTAGCTTGCCACTTGGTTTAACCACATGCTTCACTACTCTCCTTTTAATACAATATAGATTATTACATTGGACAAGAAATTTAAAAAAAATATAGAGACTTTCGAAACTTATAATAAAAAACAGCTATAAATATTTGTTTTGCAATGAATCATCTCATTAAGGATAAGACATGAAATTTCAGATAAATTATTTTTAAAAGAGTATAACATAAATTAGGATAGCGAGAGTAATATGTTGTTTCCTGTGAGAAAATCAATGGTGAATTATTTTGTGCGACATTTTAAATATAATATGCTGACATGAGGATATTTTTTGTAAAATCACAAATGGGATCCAAATATTATTTTAGATCATATATTTCAATTTCAAGTGTGATTTTTTTTAATACTCTTGTGTAAAATTCGATTATCTCGAATTTATTTCATGATATGCGTCAAATAAGAGTTGATGAATATTAATATCCAAGTTATACGTTGATCACGAAAGGAGTTTGAGTCCCTTGGTCCAAACTGTCAAAAACTACTTACTTTGCAAAGTATTTTTATTCAAAAGTACTTTTCGGAAAAAAGTGCTTTTAGAGAATAACAATTTATATTTGGCCAAATTTTTTGAAAAGTGTATTGGTTGAAAAAATGCATGACACATGGATCAATAGCGAGGTGACAAGTGGAACTTATGTTGGGTCAATAAAGAAAGACAGAAAGGCACGGATAAAATACCCACGGTGTTTTATCACAGAAGGTACTGGATCTGATATCTGGAAAGAGGAAATAGGCACGAGATGCATGAAGACCATAAAAGGGGAAGGTTCATGAATCGGTTGTAAATATGAAAAGGGAATCAACACTAGCTCTGATTGCACGATCCTCTATTATTACCGTGACTGTTACAAGTAAATTTGGTAACAGGTAATTAAGGTAAATAATGCCAATAATGAGTCAGAATTAAGTAAAGAAATAATTACAATTGTGTATCCTTATATAAGGACCCTTGCCTCATTTTGTACGATCATCTGAATATTTTCA